GTTGATGGGAAGGGGTGTTAGAGCCGATATATATGCCTAAGAATTGCGTGGCGACAAGGTTGTACGCATTGCTCTGATTGGAGGAATCCATATATAGTTATCCAAATATAGTTAAACAAAAGAAAAGAAACGAGATTTTGATTTCATAAGTTATAGTACCAAGGAAAAGAGCATTTGCTATATTCTCTTCCACAACCTTATTTGCCTCGCCTATTTTTTCATAAACATGGGTCAATAGATTTAACTTAGTATGATGGAGATTGTAATATTTTAGTCACTGTTCTTTGCATTAACTTTTTAAATTGTAAATGGAGGGACCTGGATCTGGCATTGGGCTTGGTCCAGGATAGTAGGATATGGAGATAGGCGGCTTTTGGAGTAAGCAAAGGAGCGTTCGAGTAGTCAATTTGTACGTGTTATGTGTGTTTTTTATTAAAGGATGAGTAAGAGAGGACCTATTGATGAAATTTGAAGCTACCCTTTGTTAGGAAAAGAAAATACTACTGAGTACTTGTTAATACTTGGTGTTTGCACGAAACTTAAGTAATTAATTAATTTTAAAACTCACAAGTACAATTAAAATACATAATATAGCTTACTTATAATATAGAGACAAAAATTTATATATATTATTGTAATATAGTTGTACAAACTGTGTATGTAATTAATTTTTCTTTGTAACCTTAGTTAGTTAATCATAGCTTAGTTAGTTAATCATAGTTAGTTGGTAGTTAGTTGTGTCGTAGCTGTCAAGTTAGTTGGAATTAGTTAGTGGAGTGGTACCCCACGTGTATATATGTACTATCAGAGTTTGCAATACAACACATGCTCTTATTCTCTTTTCCAGATCGATTTCCTTCTTCTTCTAGTTCATGTGAAGCTTCTAGAGCTCATCAATGGAGTCTCTAACAAATGGTGAAGCTTGAGATTCCAAAGCCACAGCTTGACATGGTATCAGAGCAGAGAAATCTCCGACTTAGTCGTCTCATAAATCAAGCAATCTGAGCTGTGTTCTTCGTCTTGATTCAATTCTCAATCGATCCACACAGTGTGAGCTTCGCCTTGTCTTCGATTTCATTTTCCTAAGTTTTCTCCTTCTCTTTTTACTCCGAGTCCTTGAATTTCTTAATATGGCTGTTGACGATCAGACCAATGTAAACAGTAATAATACTGCTAATGTCGAAAATGTTAAAAATGTTGAACCTACCGTCAATTCTGTTCTAGATCCTAGTGATCCTCTCTACCTACATCCGTCGGATAATCATGGAGCTATGCTAGTTAGTGTGGCTTTTAGTGGAATTGATCCTGGAGGCGTGCAGTTTTGCGTGGCCTTTCTGTCAAAAATAAGACTGGTTTCATTAGTGGAGAGTGTAAGCGTCCAGATCCCCAATTTCCTAAGTTTAGACAGTGGGAAAGGTGTGATGATATGGTGACTTCGTGAATTCTAAATTCGCTTTCAAAGGAAATAGCAGACAGTGTAGAATATGCAAATGATGTTGTTGAATTATGGAGAGAATTGGAGGATCGATATGAACAAACTAATGGTGCGAGATTGTATCAAATCCAAAAGGAGATTAATGATCTGTCTCAGGGAGTTCTGGACATCACAAGTTATTACACTCAGTTGAAGAAACTCTGGGAAGAGTTAAGCACTTTGAGTGCCAAAACTCAATGCAACTGTCTGTGTACTTGTGGTGCTAAGGAAGGTATGCACAAGGCTGAACAAGATAGGAGATTGATTCAATTCCTCATAGGGCTCAATGAGGTATACACTGCTATGAGAGGTAGTATTCTTATGATGAATCATCTTCCTTCAATGGCACAAGCTTTCTCTCTGTTGATTCAGGATGAAAAGCAACGTGAGATGAGACCTTCAAATCATATAGTTGCAGAGTCAATGTCACTACATGTTAATGCTGCAGGAAATGCCAACAATTCCAGGAACAATAACTTCAGGACTGACTACACTCCTAATTCTAATTTCCCAAACACAAATAGGTCAAGACTTTTTTGTGACTACTGCAAACGTCCAGGACATACCAAAGACAAGTGTTTCAAACTTCATGGTTATCCCTAGACTTCAAACAACAATCAGAACCCTAGGTACAACAGGAACAAAAGAGTTGTGGCCAATGCACACTCCAACCTATCTGATGAGATCTCAGCCAGAACTGAGGAATTTAGACCTAAGGATGAAAATCAGAATTTCAATCTGTCCAAGGAGCAATACAGCCAGTTGATCAACATACTTCAGCACTTCAACACCAGTAGTGGAGGAGAAGGTTCTCAGAACACAAGTCATGGGGCTGGATCTGTAAACCTTGCTGCAGGAAACATGAACTTTGCAGGTATAATAACTTGTACGTCCTCTATTGATTTGGCAAGTTATCAGAACTTGGACTGACACATGGATTTTAGACTCAAGAGCCTCGAACCACATTACCTTCAATAAAACTACCTTAGTTGATATTAGGATCTTACCCTATCCTTTGCTAGTCACTCACCCAAATGGCTATAGAGTTAAGGTAACAGAAATTGGCAGTATAAATCTTGCTCCTCATATCACCTTACACAAAGTCATGTTTATTCCCTCTTTCAAGTTCAATCTCATCTCCATATCCTCTGTAACTGCACGGCTTAAATCCTTGATAGCCTTTACTAACACATGTTGTCTGATGCAGGCCCCTTTAATGAAGAGGCTTCTGGAGATTGGTAAGATCAGGGATGGTCTGTATCTTTTGTGCTCCTTTTGTTTGAATAATGCCAGTACTTGTTCTACATCTGTTTCTTCCTTTCCTGTTTCGTGTCATGCTTGTGATGTAAATATTTTGAAAACTCCATCTAGTATCTATAATCACAGTTCCTCACAAAGTCCTCCTTCCTCAAGTGTAAATAATTCCATTTGCAATAAAACACATGACTGTGATTCTTTCTTGTCTCACAAAGATGATGTTAATGTGTTGTGGCATAATAGATTAGGCCATGTTCCTTTTGCAAAGATGAGAAATATCACCACTATACCTGTTGCCTTCTCTAATAAACAACCCTTTCTATGTTCTATATGCCCCATGGCCAGACAGTCCAGATTACCCTTTCCTAGCAAAACCAGTAACACCAAACAAGTTTTTGATCTCCTACATGTTGATTTGTGGGGACCCTATCATGCCCCCACACGTGACAATTATAAGTACTTCTTAACCATGGTGGATGATTATAGCAGGTCTACATGGACTCACCTTTTGTCCAGTAAAAGTAATGCCCTGCAGATCCTTAAAGCCTTCATATCCTTTGTAAAAACTCAGTTCACCTGACTATCAAGTCAGTAAGATCAAATAATGGCTTGGAATTCACTAGTACAGAAGAAAATTCCTTCTTTCAAACTCAAGGAATTGTCCACCAAAGAACTTGTCCATACACACTACAGCAAAATGGTGTAGTTGAAAGAAAACATAGATATCTTCTAGAAACAGCTAGAGCACTTTTGTTTCAATCAAAGCTACCTATAAGGTATTGGGGTGAGTGTGTTCTGACAGCCACCTACATTATCAATAAACTCCTTACTACATACCTCAACAACAAATGTCCTTTTGAAATCCTATACAAAAAGAAACCAAATTACTCCTATTTGAGAAGTTTTGGTTGCCTATGTTTCCCCACTACACCAAAAGTTCACAGGGACAAGTTTGATCCCAGAGCTATGCCTCATGTGTTTATTGGATATCCCTTTGAAACTAAAGGATATAAAGTGCTGAACTTGCAAACCAGAAAAATCCTCTTATCCAAAGATGTGACCTTTCATGAAAATATTTTTCCTTTTGCTGTGTCACCTGTCACAGGCTCCTCTTTCCCAACTTTACCACCTTTCATCTCTGACCTGTACACTACTACATCTCAACCAACAACCGGCAGTCCACTAAGCCCAAGCACTCCTGAGACAGAATATGATCACTTCTTATCCGATCATTCACCTGTTAGCCATTTTGCACCTGGTTCCCCAGAAACACAATCTCGCTCTCCTGAAGCTTTGCCAGAAAATCCTCTTGATTCCACCTCACAAAGTGAGTCTCTTATCTTAGAGCCTAAGAGATCTGGTAGAGAACATAAGTTACCTGCACACCTGCACGACTACATCTATTCCATACCTCAGTTGAAACCAACTTCTACTCATCTATCTACTAACCCATCAACCACTCCAACTTCCCTTGATGCTTTATTTTCTTTACATAGTCATGTTCCTGCTGACTCTTTAGTCCATGATAATCAGTTACTTGTAGTGAATGTTTGCAATGTTTCTGAACCATCTTCATATGAGGAAGCTGCTTTCAATCCTGCCTGGCAAGCAGCAATGACACAAGAGTTTGAAGCCCTGCATACAAATCACACCCGGGACATAATGTATTTGCCAAGTGGAAAGCAGGAAATTGGTTGTTGGTAGGTATACAAAATTAAACACATAGCTGATGGAACAGTAGAAAGATTGAAGGCTAGGCTGATAGTGAAGGGATACACTCAGCAAGCTGGCACAGATTATACAGAGACTTTCAGTCCTGTAGTGAAGATGACACAGTGAGAGCTCTCATAGCTACGTGTCGAGTGAAAGAACGAAAGTGCGACACTACNATGCATTCTTGCATGGAGACTTGCATGAAGAAGTTTATATGCAAATACCACCAGGATTGGAAGTCAGCTCTACAGGTTTAGTTTGCAAGTTAAATAAGTCCTTATATGGTCTTAAGCAGGCAAGCAGACAGTGGTACTCTAAGTTGACTGAGGCACTTTGCTCAATGGGCTATGTGTGTTCTCTAAATGACTACTCACTCTTCTACAAGAAAACAGAACATTCTACCATTTACATAGCTGTGTATTTAGATGATGTTATCATCACTGGAACAGACATCTCATAGATTGAACAAGTTAAATGTTTCCTGCATGATCAATTCAAATAAAGACCTGGGGAAACTACACTAGTTTTCTTGGTTTAGAGGTTCTTTACACCAGTGATGGGGTAATAATATCTCAAAGGAAGTTTGCATTGGATTTACTGAAAGAATATGATTGTCTTTCTTATAGCAGCTTGTCTTCTCCCCTTGATCCAAGTGAAAAACTCCGAGCCAAGGAAGGAGCAGTTTTGCCAGATCCTACTTACTACAGAAAGTTGGTAGGCAAGTTAAACTTTCTCACTAATACCAGACTTGACATAGCCTTTAGTGTGCAGCACCTCAGCCAGTTCATGCAAGACCCCAGGGAGCCATATTTGAAGGCAGCTTTCCACTTACTTAGATACCTGAAGAGTGATCCAACTCTAGGAATTTTTCTGTCCAATGATCATGATTGCACTCTGAAGGGTTATTGCGACTCAGACTGGGCTGCTTGTCCAGATTCTAGGAGGTTAGTTACTGGCTACATAGTCCTGCTGGGTAGTAGTCCAATTTGTTGGAAGTCCAAGAAGCAAGAAACAGTGTCCCTATCTTCAGCAGAAGCAGAATACAGATCCTTGAGAAAAATTATTGGTGAACTAACTTGGCTTTGCAGATTGTTTGATGAGCTCACTTTTCCCTATCCTAAACCTGTCTCAGTGTTTTATGATAGTCAATCTGCTCTACACATAGCTCGCAACCCTGTTTTTCATGAACGGACAAAACACATCGAGGTTGATTGTCACTTTATGCGCGATAAACTCCAAGAGAAGTTGATTTCTCTTCATCACATTGGTACAGGTGCACAGTTAGCAGATGTACTCACTAAAGCCTTACTGGTGTCAAGCATTCTGAGATATTGAACAAGTTAGGTGTGAGAACCTCACCTCCAAATTGAGGGGGGGGGGGTATTGAAATATAGGTACATACTATGTATGTATTTAATTTTTCTTTGTAACCTTAGTTAGTTAATCATAGCTTAGTTAGTTAATCATAGTTAGTTGGTAGTTAGCTGTGTCCTAGCTGTCAAGTAAGTTGGAATTAGTTAGTGGAGTGGTACCCCACGTGTATATATGTACTATCAGAGTTTGCAATACAACACATACTCTTATTCTCTTTTCCAGAAAGATTTCCTTTTTCTTCTAATTCATGTGAAGCTTCTAGAGCTCATCAATGGAGTCTCTAACAAATGGTGAAGCTTGAGATTCCAAAGCCACAGCTTGACATATATATAACACTTATTTTACATAATTACATTCATTTATTTGATACAGACATAACCATAAAATACTACAGTAAATAGTACTTTTCGTTGGAAAATCAAAGTGCGTGGGAGAAGTTTGTTTCCGCATCTCGATCAGCCAATTGCATAAAGGAGTAAAGTCCATGTCAGTGTCTATTTGGCCTCCCCTTTCCCCTTTTGCCCCTCTTTTCTTTATATTTCAAAGTAGGTAGATATTTACTCGCATTAGTTGCTTACATCAAATCAAATTATTTAATCTTAACAAATAGTGGCGGATTCAATATTTTAAGGTAATGGGTGCTTACTATTAATTAGTGCTAGCCAATGATGGAAGGAGTCGGATTGATATGGACGAGTTAAATACGTTTTAGACAATACGGATAAAATTTTCCAACCACTCATATATTTAATAAGGTTAAAACATAGATTGAATGTAGAAAAATGTAAATATTCATATTTTCTTGAATATTATCATCATTCTGAGAATTCCAGACCACAACATAGGCTGTCAAATTTGGTGGTGGTAAATTGAATATATTTTTTTTTTTGTGCCACGATGAACTAAATGAATTGAAGAAAGAAAAAAGGGCAAAGTTAAGAACAAAATGGAAAGCCACGTAAAAGGAAGATGAAAAAGAAAGTCAAAGATGCACCACGTAAGAATCGAACTCCGGATCACGCAGAGCGCATGCTTAGATTCCATTAACCAGGAGCACCCACCAGTTTGTTTGAGTAATCGGTGCTCGCATATATATATATATATATATATATATATATATATATATATATATATATATATATATATTTCAGGCGAAATTGTCTATAAAATTATATGTTCGATATCATGGGCAATGGGTGGGCGAAGCTACATGTCTTACAGGGTGGCCAATTGACCACCCTTCGTTGGAAAATTACACTGCGTATATAGGTAATATATTATGTTTTAGAGGTATATAACATATAGTGAACACCCTTTATCGGAGAATTTTTTCACTTCTTTCATGTTTGAATACCCTTAAGAAAAATCCTGGCTTCGCCACTACTTGAACACCATAATTCTCTATGTGGATCCGCCCATGCTAGTAGATAAAATTAAATTAAAAATACATGGTTAGTAATAAATATGCGAACATGTGTCTTTCATTTATTTATTTAATATAAACATTAAATGCCGCAAATAAAGTTTCACCAGTTGAAATGCGTATCTTATACCGTTATACTCCCTCTGTCTGATAATATGTATCGTGATTCTTTTGTGCAAGCCCCTTAAGAAAGAATAGTTTTTGACGACTTTACCCTTATTAAATATTTTCTGAATTTATGTGTCATCTCTATCAATTACATTATCCATATTTTTACTAAATGTGAATGCAATTGATTATAGGATAAAAAAGGAAAAATACAATCAATTTTGTCTTGAACTTCTAAAATGACAAATAATTTGAAACAACTATTTTTAGTAACCACGACACATATTATGAGACGGAGGGAGTACTACTTTGATTAGGTTTTCACAGTTTTTCGACTTAGAGGTGCTACTACCAGGAGTATATTTTTTTTATTTTATTTCTTTGAACTGCTCATTTGATTTTTTTTTAAATATAATTCTAATTAAGTACATGAAAAATGTGGTTGTCTAATATATCTTGAAAATTAACGTTAAGAAAAAACTAAATATTCGAATATATTATAAAAATAATAAATAAAATAATATTAAGTTATTTTATTTATAATTAAAATACATAGGTAAAAATATATTATATAGTATATTTTTACATANAGTTATTTTATTTATAATTAAAATACATAGGTAAAAATATATTATATAGTATATAATATAGAAGGTATTACATAAATATGAAGGTTTATATAATATCAAGGGCATAATAGACTTTTCAAGTAAAAATGTGACTTTTTTGATAACTAGAGCAAAGTAAAATGTTTTTGTGTAACAAAAGAAAGAAAAATGACTTTTGTGTAATGAACACAAAGTTGAATGATTTTTACATAACCAAAAAAAAAAAAAAAAAACTTTTGAGTAACAAACATAAAAGTTCAATGACCATGAATAAAATTAACTCCAAAAATAGTACTAACCTTTATAGTTAGTTTGCGAGAACAGCAGTTGCCGTAAGTGATAGGCAGCTTGCACATTAAAATTCTAATTAAAAAGACACGAGACCATTGCATTGAGCCAATTTTCCAAACTTTAACTCTAAGTCCAATCCTGTTTAAATAAATCTAACAGGTCGAAACAAATATAGGAAATGCTCGGAAAGCCGTATTCGATGAATTTATTAATGCAGATGACAACTATTGTTGGATCATATTTTACAGCGGAAGCAAACATAGCATCATAATCACGTGTAATCTAAACAATTAGTACATACGGAGATTATACGAATTACCTCTTGAAGCGTGAACAAAGCAAATCGATATCCTTCTCCAGTTCCAGAATTGCAAGATCTCAGGAACCTTCCACAGTCTTCTACTGTGTTACCCAAATAAAAACCGGAAAACAGAAAACTTCGGGTGGACGAAATTCAAGGAAGAAAAACGTGTGGTTTTTCTTTTTGTCAAAACCGACCAGCTATATACCATATATATATAGCTGCGTTTTTTAGGTCAAAACACTTTTCCAAAACCTGTTAGGTTTTCTTCTTCCACCAAGGAAAGGTTTCCTTTATTTCCTATTATTCAGGCACAGTAGGGATCACAAAATTTAATTAACAAGGCTTCCTATTATGGAATTAATTTCGAAATTTGAAATTAATTTCTACCATAATAAATTACGAATTATTCCACCAAAAATTCGTAATTGCACTCCTTAGTTCAATTTCGAAATTCTTCCATAAAACCTTATTTAACTCCCCATGTTAAAATTCAGATACTAATCAATCAAATTAAATTACTGACTATTTAATTTATTGATTACTTCCTTTAGACTTACACTTAACTTATTTCATGTGTCGGATACAAAATCCACCGGCCGGGTTTACACATGAAAACTTATAAGCTTTCATAAAGGAGTATCATCAATCTCAAAACCGAGACATGGATTCCATCAACTAATTATTACTTCGCCAATGTATATCATTGTTATCCAATTTGCCAGGCTTATTGACTCACGAAAGAATCTCGCCTTTTAATAAATCAAAACAACAAGTGACATATACAGCTAATAATAATTAATA